TTCCTGGCGGTCCCGCGGCCCCGGATAAGGCACTCTGGCCTCAAGTTTGTTCACGCCGCGGTGACCCATCCACTGCCTTCCCTTCCCACAAGCTCTGACCCCCGGCGTGGTGCTGGCAGGGCTGTCGTGTGGGCCAGCACTGAGACCTATTAGTCAGGAGAGATTTGGGTCAATCCCTGGGGTTTGGGGTTGCGGGGGGAAGTTGGGAGAAGGGCACAGTTTCCCTGAGGTGTCCCTGTGAAAGACTGATTGACCTCTACCAGTAAGCACAGCTGGCTCCCAGGTCCCCCAGCATGGTCAAGGTCTGTGTCACCTTGTCTGGAGTCCCCAGGCCTACTGGGCCCCTACCCAGGCCTTGGTGGGCTCATGGCCTCACCAGTCCAGTTCTGATGCTGCCTGTCCCTGTGGAGCCCACTCCAGACTGTTCCTCACAACACCAGGGTCTGGGCTCAGGCCCCCATCCTTGCAGCTCCCTCCAGGGGAATTGCCTATTGCTGGGGCCTGCCAGGTCTCCCCGAGTTCCCGGTACCTGCACCTCGCGGGCAGCCTGCATTGGCTGCAAACCACGCTGTGCTGGCTGCTTCCTCTTATATTTTCCCATTCAGTCCCCAGTCCCCTTCACAATTCTGTGAAGCAGGATCTAGACTGCAAAGCAGGTTTTAGGATTATCTCCATTTTATAGAAAGGAAAATTGAGGCTCAGAGAGGTACAATCACTCACCCAAGGACACACAGCAGGAAATTCAGTGGCTTCCAATCTCATTCGCTTTCCTCCACACCACGCTGCCTTACTTGAGATTTTTGGGAGGAACAGCAAACACAGCTCCTCTCTCCTTGACCCTCTCACCCCCAGAGCCCACAGGGACCTGCTGCAGGGAGGCACTGCTTACACTGGTCCTCCTCAGGAGGCCTCTAGCTCCCCTCTGGGAAGGAAGAGGCTGGGTCCCCTGCTGGGCTCGGCTCAGCCTAGCCTGTGGTCATTTGAATCCCCAGTGCTATTGCCCACCAGTCACCCTGCTCTGTGACCACGTGGTGTCCAGCCTGGTGACCCCAGGACCAGCCACCAAAAAGGAGTTATGCAAGGTACTCACCTGCTCACTGCAGCTCAGGTAATAGAAACAAGTGACTAGAGCTACCACCCCCAGGTTGCTAAGGCCAAGTGCCTGCCAAATCCACCTCCTAGGCTGGGGTGGACTCTGCCCACCATCAGCTAAACCACATTAACTGGAAGGCTCAAAGGACAGGCGTTCTGGTTAACTGGATTTGTTGGGCATCTGAAGGCTAACTTGCAAAGTCTCTCTAAAATGCCTGACTTTAATAGCAAAAAATTAGAAAGACCTAAATGTCCAGCAATAGGAGACTTGTATAATAAATCATGGGTTATTCATATAATGGGATACCATGACATGTTACAGAAGAACACTTAATGACTGAGGAAATGGTTACAATATAGTAAGTGAAAGGTTTCAGAGGAGTAAAACAGAATAAACCCATATTGAAAAAGAAAAATTTCTGTATGTCTTTTCTTATATATAAATATAATAGGAAAAAGATGAGAACACACTAAAATATTAATCACGCTCTATCTTAGGGTGTTGATATGACAGGTGACTTTTTTTTTTTTTGAAAAACAGATGGGGTCTCACTCTTGCTCAGGTTGGTCTCAAACTCCTAATCTCAAGTGATCCTCCCACCTCAGCCTCCTGGAGTGCTAGGATTACCGGCATGAGCCACCGTGCCTGGCTGACAGGTGACTTTTTAAATGTAGATTTTTTTTTCCTTTAAAAGATGGTACATTTACATGGTTCAAGATTCAAATGGAACAGAAAGTTATAGAGTCAAAGTACCTCTTCCATCCCTGTCTCCTATTTGCCTAGTCTCAGCTGCTGGCGACCTGGGGGATGCTGTTTCCTATAAATCTTTCCAGAGGTATTTTATGGACATAAAATATGTTTTCCCTTCCCATTTTCTTATGCAAAAGAGTGTATTATATGCATACTGTTTTGTGCCTTGCTGCCTGCCCGGACATAGCTTAGAGATCATTTCTTATTCCTTATCAATATATAAAGAGATCTGTTTGTTTTGGGGTTTGTTTGAGACAAACCTGTTGCCCAGGCTGGAGTGCAGTGGCATAATCATAGTTCGCTACAGCCTCAAACTCCTGGGCTCAAGGAAGCCTCCTGCCTCAGCCTCCCAAGTAGCTGAGACTACAGGCACGCACCACCATACCAGGCTAATTTTTCTAGTTTTTGTTGAGATGGGGTCTCGCTGGGTTCCTCAGGCTGGTCTCAAACTCCTGGCCTCAAGCAATCCTTCCGCCTCACCCTCCCAAAGTGCTGCTTTGGGATTACAGCTAAGAGCTTTTTCATACGTTGTTTTCCCCAGGGAGCAAGTATTTCACTGGATGTCCCTTAATTTATATAACCCCACCCTTACCGATGGACATTGTAGCAGGTAAACATTGTGGGTTGAATTGTGTCCCCCCAAAAGATATACTCAAGTCCTAACCCCAAACCTGTGAACATGACCTTATTTGGAAATAGGGCCTTTGCAGATGATACTGGATTTAGGATGGGTCCTAAATGAGAAAAGGGGAGGCCACACACAGAGACACAGGGAGAAGGCCATGTAGGGGCAGAGACTGGAGTTATGCTGCCACAAACCAAGGAATGCCTGGGGCCACCAGAAGTTTGAAGAGGCAAGGATTGTGGCCTAGGTCCTTTGGAAGGAACATGGCCCTACTGACATCTTCATTTCAGACTTCTAGCTTCCAAAACTGGGAAAGAACACATTTCTGCTGTTTTAGGCCACCCAGTGTGTGGTAGTTTGTTACAGCAGCCCTGGGAAACTAACACATAGGTACACTTGTAAGCTGGCCCTCACCCATCCCTGCCTACTGGTATCCACACCCTGGTGTGATGCCCTCCCCTTAGTGTGGGCAGGACCTGCAACTGCCTTCTACTCAGCAGACCCAGCAAAGGTAATGAGATCCTTCTGAGATTGAGACTACAACTGCTGTCTTGCCGCACTCTTGCACTTGCCCACTTTGATGAGGCAGCTGCCAGCTTGTGAACTACACAGAGGCCCATGTGGCAAGAAAATACAAGTGACCTTTACCCGCCAGCCATGAGCAACAGAATCCTGCCAACAACCACGTGAGTGAGCTTGGAAGTGGATCCTTTCCCTGTCAAGCCTTAAGATGACACTGTGGCCTCAGTTGACATCTTGACTGCAGCCTGTGAGAGGCGCTGAGAGAGAGGACCCAGCTGAGCTGCACCCAGATTCCTGACCCATAGAACTGAGATAATAAATGTTTTGTTTCAAGCTGCTAAGTTTTAGGGTGAGTATTACACGCAATAGACGCTAATATAGTTGGGTAGGATACTTCCAATATTTTGCTATGACAGTATTACAGACGATGGCAATATTCTTTGTTTTTCAGTTTTCATATCTGCATTATATCTCTAACTAGGAGGAAAATATTTAAATTTAAAGTATCTGTCTACATTCAAGCTGCAGTGAGGAAAAATGGGCCTTTTCCCTACTCTAGTCCACTCTGCCCAGAGCATGGTCTTTCTCACTCCCAGCTTGGAGAAATCAACAGCTATTAGCACCTACGGCATGCCCATGATGCATTATAGTAGCTTCCAGTCACCCCTTGGGCTGTCACTCATACTTGCCACACGATGGCTTTCTCAATCCACGTGGAGGGAATGGGGACTTCCACGTATCAAGCAGGTCTTACGTATTAAGCAGGCCCGTGGGCAGCACTGTGCTAGAGACATAGACCACCTTGACTAAAGGCATGGACGCTGAAGCCAGCGGGTACCAGCTCTGCCACTTACCAACCATGTGACTCTGGGCAAATTACAGTATCTGACTGTGCTTCTGTCTCATCGTTTTCACAACAGGGATGAGAACTGCTGCAGACAATGTTTGTGTGCTCCCAAATTCATGTGGAAACCTAATCCCCGGTGTGAGTGTCTGAAGGTGGGGCTTTGGGGAGCTGACTGTGTCACGAGGGTGGAGCCCTCAGGGGTGGGAGTGGGGCCTGTATGAAAGAGGCCCCAGAGGGCCCTTTCGCCCCTCCCACCACGTGAGGTTACAGCCAGAAGACAGCCTTCTCAGACACCGAATCTGCCAGCGCCTTCATCTTGCACTTCCCTGCCTCCAGAGCTGTGAGCTGTCGTTTTCTGTTGTCTATAGGCCACCCAGGCTACGCTACTGTTACAGCAGCCTGAACGGACTAAGACAAGTACCTACCTCACAGGGCTGCTGTGATGATGAAATGAGTCTTACAGGTTAAGGGCACAGGATAGTGCCTGGCAGAGAGTAAGCATTACACAGCAATAGCTACGGTCATTGTCAAGGGGACAGTAAGGCCCAAAGGAGCATGTTAAGTGACCTCCTAAGGCCACACAGCCATTAAACCTGTCCAGATTCACTCTTCCAGATTCCCACCTCAAATACCCTTTGCTCGATTATATTAGTTTCCTATTGCTGCACAGTATCACCAAACTTAGCCACTTCAAACAACACGTTTACTATACTGTTCCTATGGGTCAGGAGTCCGGGCACAGCTTAGCTGGGTCCTCTGCAGGCTGCAAAGTATCGGCCAGGCCTAGGGTCTCATCTGAAGGCATAACTGGGAACGATCAGCTTCCAAGCTCAGGTGGTGGGAGACAGAGGCAAGGGGCCAAGCTCTCCAGCACAGCCTGTATCACCGAGGTTCCAGAAGATAATTAAGCCCCCCAAAAGTGATTCAAGCAACTACTTTCACATCACCCAAGGACTGTACTCTTCCAGACACATGGGAGAGAAATTAATGATTGCTTTGGGGCAGCAGGGGCAAATTTCCTCACTTTTGCCAATCTGACACCCTGTCCCTGGACTTTAAGTCTAGACATAGAGAAAGGTGGCTGAGAGTCTAGCTGTGGCATCCTGGAGAGTTTAGCAGCCACGCTGCCAAAAACACATTCGCCCTCGACATGTGTTGAGAGAAGTATTTATTTGTTTATCTTAAAAATCTGGTCCCACAAAAAGGCCAACACTTTTTTCAGTTCATGGTCTTGACCCTTCAAAAAAGAAATCTTTCAATTCAGAGGTAAGTCAATAAAAGCAATTTCAGAGGTGTGCTCAGATGAAATAATTGCTTATAAACCAGTAATCCAGGCAACCCTGGACTTCTAGTTCACTGAGCTCCTTCTGTCATTCACAGTCCCTGAAGGAGAAAAGAAAGTAAGAGGCTCTCTGCAGATAGAGTATTAACACTTCAGAAACTACCAAAGAGAAAACCCAAGTCCGCCAGGAGCAGCACTGTGAACCTATAAGCCCAGAGAGCCGCCAGCAGACAGGAAGGCTGACCCCACCTCCATGACAACGGCTTCCACCTTCCTGCCCAAACACTTCCATGTGGCTTCCAGCGCCTGCCTCGGCCCTGCGTTGGAAATCCAGGCAACTGGGCAGGGATGAACACGGCTGCCTGAAGGCCAGGGCAGCTGGCTGACAGTGAGGAAGGCCTTCGGAGACCCCACAGCAGCGCACTGCAGGAGCTGTTCCTTTTGCAAAGACAAGTTAGTGCAGATCAGCACGTTAGTAAAGCAAAATATTTAAACGTTTAAAAAAGCTGCTCAATCCTTTCAATTTCCCTCCCGATTGTCTGTTCAAGCTGTAGCCTATAGACCTGCTGGAAATCGGGAAGGAAGCCCTCCTCTGGAAGGCAGACTGACCGAAGAGGCTACGGCCAATGCGGGTGCAGAACCCCCCTTGCCGAACATGATCACACCTGTAAACCCTGAGAAGGGCCGATCTGAATCCAGGCAGCAAACTCGACCCATTCTTTTGCTTTGGGGGCTTGTGTTTAATATGGGTCATTGTGATGGAAGATGTCTAGTCTCAGAGTCTCTCTCATGTCAAGAGGACAGACGGGGATAGGCCTCCTGGAGCTTCTCTCCTGTGTTCTGGTCGCATGCTTCAATCCCAGGAAACAGCGTGCCTAACATGGAGTTTGCCAAGAGAGCCGGGCGAGGAGGAGAGGAGAGGGTGCTCCACACAGAGGCCGGCAGGGAGTGCTTCATCCTCCTTCCTTTGACCCAGGTGAGGCAGCTCCTTCCCAGAAGTCATATGAGCAAAAAGAGAACTGTGCTCAGGTCAGAACTGGACCCAGCCCGTGCCTGGCTGAGTGTGGCTGGAAGTTGACCTGTGAAGGGAAGATAGAGAAGGGTGGGGGGAGTTCAGATATTTGAAAATAAAAGTAGATAAAAGTTGGCTTCTCTCTGGGCACAAAGAGCTCTAAGAAGCCAGTTTCTAAATGTTCTAGAGCAGCGGTCAGCAAACTATGGCAGACATCAACTGGCTCTCTGTTTTTCCTTATAGTTAAAGAAGTTTATAGTTATAAAGTTTACTTATAAAAGACTCTTAAATTCGTTGTATCATGCCTCTTTGTGTGTTTTTGTAAACAAAGTTTTACTGATACACGGCTATCTCCTAATTCACTTACTTATTGTCTGTGGCCGTTCTTGTGCTAAAGCAGCAGAACTGAGTAGCTAGAACAGAGACCACGTGGCCCGAATAGTTGAAACTATTTGCTGCCTGGTCCTTCATAGAAAATGTGTGCTGACCTCTGTCCTAGAATTTGTCCATATAAATACTGGTGCAATAGGAATTTAGCATCTTTTCACGCTGACACCAAGTGAAGGCTTGAAATCCTACAGAGTCCCAGAAGGCTAGTCACCTTGGCTCAGAGGTCCCATGAGGATGGGCCAAGGCTAGGACCTGGGTATTAACTCTCAGCTCAGTGTTGTGGGGACACTGGGGACAGCAGGAAAGAGGGAGGTACTAGGGACAACACAAAGCACTTGGTAAGGTGGTTTAAAGGACCAGACAGATTTGCAAAGGGTGGCCACGAGGCCACCTAGCCATGGAGAGCAGCAAAAGGCCTTCACGGAGAGAAATGTGCCACCCAAAGTAGACACTCTGGGGCTCTGTCCTCTGGCTGGAAAAGGTCCAAATCAAAGCTGTTGTTCTCGACACCAGAAGAAAAGCACGTGGAGCAGTCCCAGGTTTTTAGACTCACAGCCCCGGTCTCAGCCCCACCGCACGTGGCCCTCCTCACCCTGTGGATTTGGCAAAGTCTCCCCAGACGTCTGCGGTGGCAGTAGTGGCAGGCTTGGGCTGGGGCCAGGATACGGTGGCACCTCCTACTGATGTCCCCAAGTCCGACGGATAGGGAGAGAAGAGAAGGAGACAGGGGAGTCAGAGACCTCTCTTTTCGGTTGTCTCAGTGACCAAATCACGAGACTCAGTGACATTCTACTGGGCAACAAAACCAGTGAATCGCCACATTTCCACCACCTTCTCACCAGCCCTCGAGGGCTCCTGGAGAAAAGGCAGACAGCCACGTACGAGGTGGAAGGAGGGCGCCAGGGAGGGTGAGTCACGTGCCATTTATCTTTCCTACCTGAAGCTGACTGTTTTTAATTGTTTATGTTGAAATCCGTTTAAAATTTATTATATCCTGTCCTGGCTTCTTGAATGGAGAATGCCCACCCAAACCACAGATCATCTTTATATAAGGCTGCAGTCCAAGTTTCTGGATCACCCAGCTGAAAACACAATGTGCCTGACATGTGCCAAGTCCAAGGCCCCAAACTGGTTGGGGTTGGGAAGAGCCTTCCAGAAGAGGTAACACAAAAGCTGGTCCTGTGCTTATCTCTCACCAAGGTGAGTGGCGTGATGGGGCTACAATGCCTCCTTTTGTACTTTTCTGACACCTCCCCCAGGGCTGCCAACTGTCCCCTCTGAAGGCCCTGTGTCTGCCACCCCTGCCTTCCCACTAATTTGCTACTTCTAATCTGCTCTGGGCTGGGAGACCAGATAATACCAAGGCCCTGGATGATTTAGAGTTTTACAGTTTGCCAAGTGCTTAATGCACATTATCTCATTTGAGCCTCACCACAGCCCCTAGGGGAAGACAGGTGAGAACTAGCCATGCAACTTTGTAGGACTCACTGAAGTTTCAGTTTTCTTATCTCCAAAATGAGGACAATGACAATGAGGACTTCACAGGACTGGTGTGAGGATTAAATTAATATACAGGAATGCTCGGAACAGGCCCAGCACACAGTAGAGATGATAGGAATATTAATAAAATGAGAGCTAGCATTCAGTGAGCACTTACAATCTTCTAGAAACTGTTCTAAGTGCTGTACACGAATTAGCGCATCTGATCCTCCCAAGAAACCTGTATTATGGTATCGTTACTTCCCCCATCCTACAGATGAGGAAACTGAGGCACAGAAAAGTAACCAATTTTCTGAAGATCATAAAACTGGTAAGCTGGAATTCAAACTCAACCAGTCTGGTTCTGAAGCATATAGCAAGCGCTCAATAAATGTTGTTATTCATGGCTTATGAACTGACAGCATTGTCTGTAGACAAGCTAACTGCCTGCCTCACACATTAGAACACAAGCCCTTGAGAGCAAGGACTTTATGCTGTACTGCAGCACGCCAGTGCCTAAAATGCCACCTGGTCCGTAGCGGGTGCTCCCCATGACCTGTTAAAATGCATCAGCAACTGAGGGAAGGCCGAAAGCAGCGGCTTTCAGACTTTAGTGCACATCCGAATGAGGATAAAAATAAGAATGCAGATTCCTGCTCCCATCCCCACGATGCCAAAACAAATGGTCCTGTGACCCCGCCCTAAGAAATAATACTTAAAGAATAATTCCTGGTGCCAGGGCAGGGGCTCTCTGGCTGCTACTCCTGCCACTCTCCCCGCTGGAGTATTCCCCACAGGGCTGAGGTTTGAAGCTCACCCTCCAGATACGGGAGCCAATGTCGGGAAAGCAGGAAGGTGCCTACCTGGGGGCTGGTGAGAGCTGTGTGGGGAAAGCAGGCTGGTGACAATCTCCCAGCCTGGAGCATCAAGCTGGGCAGGGGGGACAGGGCAGAGGCAAAGGGCTGGCACCCCAGCACCATCAGAGGCTGACCCTACACGCTAACTCCTGGAATCCTGGGATCTCCAAAGTGCTCATCAGCGCGGCCTGCTGGGGAGCTGCCTCTCAGCTTCCCAGTACCTGACGGCCTTGCTGTGGGGCTCACTCCAAACTAAATTTCCACATGGATTTCCCACTGATCACTTTGGCACACCTTACGCTGCATCCACCTAAATATACCAGGTGTCTAAAAGTCTGAGCCTTATTCATGCTCTTCTCTCTGCCTGGCATGCCAACTGCCCGTGCCCCAACCTCCTTTCCTCAAGGTCTAGATCAATGCCACCTCTCCCATGAAGCCTCCCCAGATCACACCAGCTGGGAGTGAGTCTGGGCCCCATATAGTTGGTCTTTGTGCCTGTGAATCATCTCTCCCACTACATGTGGGCAGAGACTATGTCTTCATCACCCACTCACTCAATACCCACTGAGAACCAGGATCCTGGATGTGATGATGTCGCAGTAACAAACCAGCCCCAGTCCCTGCCTATCACGGGAGGGCAGACACCCTACAGGGCAAGAAGGTGTTAGGGGAATAGAGGAGCCTCTTATCCAGTGTGTGCAGGATCAGCTTGGTGGTGCCCACCTTTCCGGGGAAGAGGAACCCACAGGTGCAGATTCAGCAGTCACCCCGAGCACTGACCTGAACCAGGAGCAACTGCTGGCTGGGTGAGGGATCCCCCAAAAGACAACTGGTCCCCAGGGGGAGGGATCAGAGTGGAGGTTTTGCCCCCTGGGGGTGGGGGAAGCAGGCTCAGCCCTCCTGTGCTGGCAGGCCGGGCTCGGGAAGTCCCAGCTGCTCCTTCCTTCTTCTTCATGTTCTAAAGAGAGCAAAGGAATGCAAATCAGTCAATTCTGCTAAATCCCCACTGCCATTAGAAAACCCCAAGAGGAGGGCCAAGGTGATTCCCAAACCAACATCTACATAACCAAAAGATGGTCCTATCCAGCACCTTCAATGTTATGAGCTATACTCAATGCATCACCATTCTGAATCTGTAACAAATATGGTTCAACTTCATTAATCATCAAAACTACAGTGATATGCCATCACACACGCACCAGAATGGCTAAAATGTAGACTATTAAGTACTGACAAGGATATGGAGCAAAACCTCATGCACTGCTGGTGGAAGTGTAAATTGGTAAAACTTCTTTGAAAAACTGTTTGAAAGGATCTATAAAGTGCAACATAGAAACTTGTGACTCTGCAATTCCATTCCTACAGACCCAACAGAAATGCATACACACGTGCACCAAAAGACATGAAGCCAAACATTCACAGCAGCACTATTTATGATAGCCACAAACTGGAAACTACCAAAATGTTCACCATCAGTGAAACAGATAAACTGGGTACATTCTCACAATGGAAACGCCACAACAATGAGAATGAACAAACTACACACAACAATATGGATTACGCGCAGAAATGTTACACTGAGCAAAGGAAAGAAGTCATACCAAAAGAGTACGAAGTGTATGATTCAATGCACGAAAGTTCGGAACAAAAAAAGGGAGGGTGTGCAAAGTCAGGATATGGTTACTCAGGGTAAGCAGTTACTGGAAGGGGTCAGGAAAGGGGCTTCCAGAGTGCTGACAATCTTCTGCTTCTGGATTGGGCTGTTTATAGTTGATATAGTTGTAAGTTTGGTTTTAAAACTTCACTGAGCTTTGCAATTATGATTTGCGTGCTTTTCTGCATGCATGTTTTACTTCAACAAAATGTTTTTTTTAAAAAACTGAGCACCAAGCATGAGCCAGAAACCAACATGAGTTACACAGATGAAGACAAGGTGGTTCCCTATTTGCAAGGAAGCAGCAGCTTAATCAAATAGTAAGACCAGCCCCAAAGTCAAAAGACCTGAAAGTCCTCCATGTAAGTCCAGCTGGGCCAGTTATTTCTAGCTCTGTGACCCTGGGGTAAGTCCCTTAGCCTCTCTAAGCCTCAATTTCCTCATACTACAGAGGACAGGGGGAGGATGTTTCATTCATATGAGAAATGCCTAAAAAAAAAAAAAAAAAAAAAAAACACTACCTGGCCCACAGCTGATGCTCATTAAATGTTAGTTTCCTCCAAGCAAGAAAAAGAATCGCATTCCAACCAGTCCCCTGGATTGGATTTGTATTTTCTCTTAAGGGCCAGCTGGCCGACTTCAAGGGTCTCAAATCATCACCAGCATAAAGCAGAAAAGAGGAGAAAGAGATGGTAAGTAAAGAGGAAAAGCATTAGAGTTACAAAGTTTCTTCGAAAAAAAAATCCATTTGTCCTTGGTGCCCCCAAATCATGACTCTGACTCCCTCTCCCCACTCTAGCCCTGTAGCCAGGTTACAGTCGAGCCCTGGCAACCCAGCCCAGCCTGCTATTTGCCGGGAGCTCACAGGGAAAGCTGGATGCGGAGCAGCTCGGGACGAAGACACAGGGAGCCAAGACACCACCACCAGCAGACGCTGCCTGTGACTCCTGGCATCCAGCTAGACACCTTCCTGCCCAGAACTCTCCCACGAGGCCAAGACACAGCTTGGGATGAGCACGCTGACCCCTCCAGACCCACTCTAACAGCCAGGACAGAGACACCGCCTCTGGCAGCAAAATGACTCACGCTCCTCGACTCAGAGGTTTTGCACATGCTGAACCACCCTTTGATCCCCCTTCCCTTCCTCACAAGTCACCCTTTCCAGGAAGCCTTCCTTGGTTCCCTCAATTATGGGCTGTGTGCCCTTCCTCTAGGAGCCCACAGCACCCAGGGTAGCCTTCCGTTGTAGAACCTCTCCCGCCATGTTGCAATCACATCTTCACCTGCCTGTCTCAGCTCAACTCTGAGATCCACGAGAGCAGAGGCGTCTTGTTCAGCCTGGTACAGGACCTGGCACAAGGCAGCTGCTCAGTGAACATCTGCTGAACTGAAGGAACTGAACTGGGAGTGGCTGGGGGGCCACAACTATCACATGACCACAGCCAAGCCAGGGTGGGACTCACTGCGATGTTGAGCTTGATGGTCTGGCCCTCCTTGAAGCCCAGGTCCAATTTGGGGCCTTGGTCTGGGTTCTGGGCTTGCTTTGCAAATTCACACTGCTGTTTCACCCACCTGGGGAGAGAACAGGAAGAAAACGTCAGGAAGGAAGAGACCAACTACCCTGCTCTTGCTCACTCACTTCACGGCCACCTGCCCCTGTCCAGGCCGAGGCGCGTAGGAGGCAGGGTGGTAGAAAGAGTGTAGGTTTGGGAGGTGGACCTGAATTCAAATCCTGGCTCTGACATTTAAGTAGCTGCATGCGTGTCTGTTTCCTCATCAGCACAAAAGGCTGGCAATTCTACAGGTCTTAAAGATGGCTACGAGAGTTCAGTAAGACCACTTATGTAGAGGGTTCTCAACCCTGTCTCCACGAAACGTGAGAGTCTGGCTCTTTCCTCCCTGGCACTTGGCATGAGAACTAAGACATGGTCTCTACACGCACCGCGGATGCTAAAGTAGATGGGAGACAAAACAGATGCCCAGAAGTAGAGGGCAAGACAAAGGTCCCCCACCCTCCATACAACACTATCCAGCAGCCACCTGGGACAGAGGCACCGGGTCAGGGAAGTGCCAGAGGCACCCACCTGAGTAGCTGGGCACTGCCTGTTCACAGGCAGCCAGAGCTGGAGCCCTGCAGGTGGCAGAGGAGGACTTTCCTGCCCTGTCTTTGAGCTTCATCAAGGATACCAGGACATCTGCTGGGTAGCCTGGAAATCCAAGTACTATTTACTCCAAGAATAGGCCCAGAAAGGCCAAAGGAGCCTGACAAGGACTCTGGCTGCTCAGGGGCCTGGTAAGGGAAAAGATGTGACACTCTGAAGGCTGGGCCAGCTGACAGGGATGGCAGAGATGGGCCTTGGGAAAAGGAGAAGACTTCACAGCAGAGATGAGGACTGGCAGAGCAGAGAGAAGGGAGCCTGCCCCAAAGGAGAACTACGTTTTCCTGAGGCTCTGCCACCAGACGAATCGCACACAACCCCTTTGAGTGTCCAAACCTGGGAAATCATTCTGGCCAGGGAAGGAAGCGAGGAGGCATGAGCATGTGTCTCCCAGAACCACTCACTTGAAATGGTCCTGCAATGCAACGTTGAAGTCAAAGGCATCGCCTCGGTCCCCGAAGCCAATTCCAATAAACGCCCGTCGCCCTGGAGGACAACACATGATCAATCCCAATTTCCAGCAGCAGAGAAAACTTTTCTCAAGAGGAGGAAGCACCAAGACCCACATGTACCATTTCCATCTTCGATGCGGATAACGAAGTACCTGCTGGAATCCGTCACGCTCTCCACAGCTATGCCAGGAAACTGATCCACCGGTGCCTGAGCAAAGAGCTCCCCTGAAAGCACAAGTTAGGGTGAGCCTTGATCCCCCTCCCAGCGTAGCGTTGCTATCACGCTACTGGGGCCTTTTTCCTGCAAAGCAACTCTGGCAAGCTGAGGCAGATGGGCAAACCTCACTCTGGGATTGAAATCAAGTCCAGTCTTGCGGAAGGGAAGACCTAGAAATAGGACTAAGGAGAGGCTTAAGTGAGAGACGGCTTACAGGTCAAATCCAGCCCACAGTTTACTTTTAATGTTTTATTTAATTGCCAAACATTTTGAAATCAGAGTACATGTAAAATAATCCAAATTTCTTGCTTCTTTTAAAATGAGGCTCTACCAATTCTGGGCCTCCATCCCCACCTGCGACAAACAGGCTGGAGCTGCTGCCTACCCATTCCATCGGCTTTACCCATTTCCATGACCTGCCCGGACCCTGAGCGCCCTGGCCTAGGCACAACACATCACACCCTCGGAAAAGGCCTAGTACCTGAGGCAGGACTGTAAGAAGGGGCAGTGAGCCCTGAGGAAAGGGAGGTAGTTCTTGCACCAACAGCAGAATGTGAAATAGGATGATTTAATTTAATCTCAGAGACAGAGGAAAAGGGGGACTGGCTTTAAAAGGGGCCCTTGTGAAATGCATCCCCTGGTCAACGACAGCTCTGTGTAGGTGCAGGGCAACACACAACTTTTGTGAGCATTAATGACTGGCATCATTTTTGCATGTGCTGACCTCTGTTAGTGCTTCAAGTATTTAACCAAATTATCTTCCAAGTCCTGTGGTTTAAAGGTGACCATGTAATAAAGGCTGAACTGAATGAAAACCAATGGCCCTAGAGCTTGCAGCTTCTTGTCAATTTATCTGCCCAGTGTAACAGACTCACCCAGATCCCTTCGGCTTAGAGCAGTGGTTCTCGACCTGGAGCAATTTTGTTCCCCAAAAGGCATCTGGCAATATCTAGGGGCATTTCTGGCTGTCACGACGTGGGGGGTGCTACTGGCATCTGGTAGGTGAAAGTCAGGGATGCTGCTAAATACTTTACATTGGACTCCACAGCTCCCCACAGCAAAGACTCCCCTGGCCCCATGTGTCAACAGGCTGAGAAACCCTGGCCTACAGTCATCTGCTCATTACTTCGTTGAAAAGTGAGACCAACAGGACCTGGTTGAGCTGAGAACATCCTGGGGGGCGGGTCCTGCGGATGAGGCTCAGCCCTGAGCAGTGGCTGTCACACTGGGCAGTCGTTACAGTCACAGCTCCCAAGCTCCCCAGAGAACAAAAGGCATTGCCATTCCCTTGTGACACCACCCGAGACATTCCAGCAATTCTCCAGCCAAAATTGCCCGGCCTAGCCACGGCAGCTTCCCCTTCAAAGTCCTCTGCAGCCAGCACTTACCCCGTCAACCCCATGCGCCAGGAGAATAAATCAATGCTTTGAGTGCCTTGCAGTTCACAAAGCAATCAGATACATAACTGCTCACTTCCTATTTCCAAAAACCTTGTGAAGAAGGAACTAAGGTGATCCCCATTTCAACACAAAGGAGGCCAAGGCTCCAGAGGTTACGTGGTCTGCCCACGGTCTAACAGCTCAGGCAGAAGGGGTGCAGTTCTGAGAAGAGGCAGCCAGTTCTGCCTCTAAATCTCTGTACTTTCTTCTGCTCCACAAACGAAAACCACCACATCAGAAAAGACAAATGACCGAATGCTGTGGCCCCTGACTGAGCAGGCACTGTGCTCAGTCCCCACTTGAGGGGGTCTCAGGCTGGGACAATTCCAGACACAGCGCCCTCCGCAGCTCACCCAGAGGCACTGGTGGCCCAGGACTTCCAGAGAGGTTTCCCCAATGAAACCTGACGCCAACACAGCCCGGCTTGGCTTGTCCCCTCACCACAGAAAGAGCTGAATAGGACAGTTTCCAGCTCCTATCAGTTAACGCGGCCAGCTCTGGGAAATTACCATGTGCTGATAAACAGAATCCCCGAGTAAGAACCAGGGCTCCGCAGCTTATCTTCAAGGGAAGCTCCAGGATTCCTCCTTCCCACTGGGACAGATCTGCCCATCGCCTCTCCTTGGCCTCCAAAATTAGTATTTTCCTAAGGACTCCCAAAAGGAACACGTGCTTGATAAGAAATAGTCCTTTTTACACATGAGGACAGTGGTTTCTACAACCAAGGTAGGGGAATGGAGGCAGCTTAAAGGTACGCTTGCAACTCTGATTTCCGCAGATTCCCACGACCCCTGAGCAGCCTGGCCAGGCCCAGGCTGTCTTCCCCTTCACAAAGCGGGAGGTGCAGCACCTCAGCCTGGTGCGGCCCTCCTTGCCTTTACCTGAGGTCCTGTCCTCCAGCTTGATGTAGGCCACCTGCCCCTTTGCAGTGATCCTTAGCCGACCACTCCATGACGGCTGGTCCAGCTGCCACTCTGCGGCCCTAAGGGGACAAACACCACTGAGCTTCTGCCAGAGGCTCCTGCTCCATGCCTCCAATGCTGGGGATGGGAATGGGAAGAGCTGCTTATTCTAGACCAGGGGTTGGCAAACGTTTTCTGTAAATGGCCAGACAGGAAATATTTTTGGCTTTGCCAGGCACATAGCATGTCACATCTAGGCAACTCTGCTGTTATAGAGTGAAAGCAATCAGACAGTATGTGCACGTGTTGGGTGCTTTAAGTATTTTAACTTTTTTCTACTGACTCTACCTGTATTTCAATAAAATTATACAGACACTGAAATCTGAAATTCATATAATTTTCACATTTTATTCTTTGCCAGGCACAGTGGCTCATGCCTGTCATCCCAGCCCTTTGGGAGGCTGAGGTGGAAGGATCGCTTGAGGCCAGAGGTTTGAGCCCGGCCTGAACAACACAGCGTGACCCCATTTCTACAAAAAAATTAAAAAATTAGCAGGGCCTGGTGGTGCACGCCTATAGTCCCAGCTATCAGGGAGGCTGAGGTGGGAGGATAGCTTGAGCCCAGGAGTTTGAAGGTTATAGTGAGCTATGATTGTGCCACTGCACTCCAGCCTGGGCGACAGAGCGAGACCCTGTCTCTAAAGAAGAAAATGCAAAATAAAAAAAGAAAAAGAAAAAAAAAAACAAAATATTCTCCTTTAAAAATTTCCCAACCACTTAAAAATGTAAAAAACTATCCTTAGCTTGTGGGCCATATGAAAACACAGTGAACTGTAGCTTGTTGACCCCCGTTCTAGACTACAGAGACTCTCTCTGAGTCAGGCGTCCTTCTAGTTTCCTTTCTGCAGAGAAAGCAGCTATGGGGCCTGTTGTTTCTGTTTAAGACAATGCTAGGCTGTGGTGGTCAGACTGACCATTTGGGACCGCTTAGACTATCTTGGAGGACAAGTACAGAGGGGAGCCATCATTAGTAGAAAGAGAAAATAGTACATTAGAGAAAGAGCAATAGTACATGTGTGAAAGGTGGGTGGGTGTTTACAAAATAGATTCTCAAAGCTATCCTAGGCAGAAAGAAGCCCAGGAAACCATGGACCTATAGCAATGGCCTTTTGGTTCTTTTAAAGCAATAACTTCACATTTTAGTTCTAAGAAGCAGCTCAGTAAAATCCCCAAATAGCAAGAACCATGGGTGTTTCCAGGAGGCATTTCCAGGAGGCTTTTTCCGGAAGTTCCTAAGTACATAGCAGCTCTCAAAAACTCTGGACACATGTTGTTTTGAGGGCCACACAAATGCAGACTTTCAATTCACAAGTCAGCAGTCTAGGTTTCAGTTCCTCTTATTGGAGCAACAGGCCTTAGATTCAGAGTGAGAGCTCTGAGGTTCAAGTGCAAGTTCCAGAAGTTTCCTCTAAGCCAAACCAGCCAGCCCTGCCACTTGGTAACCTCAATTTCTGGGGCACCAAGGGAAACCAACCCATCCTACTGAAGACCCAACAGGGGATGGGAGTAGACAACCATCCCTAGTTTGATGGCTCATCTCCAGTTAGAAAGCAAATGTATTGGTTATTGTTTTCACACTATTTTAAAATTATGTCATGGATGCAATAGTGTTCAATAAAATATTTGATCACTACAAAATCAGCTATGAGCTCATGTTAATACAACTGGGAAGTAATAAGAGGACAGATAATGTGGACACTCTTATCAGTCTTGTAGCGCAGACCAATCCCGTATTTCCAAATAACTTGGACAAACACTGCCTTCAAGAGCCACCCCTTCCCTCCTAACTATATGAGCACCCCACCACCACCCCACTATTGGCACAAAATAGCCATAGACCAGGTTGTCTATATCAGGTATATATTTTTTTCTTTTAACGTTTTTTGTCTTGTTTTAACAGGTAATGCATACATAGGGTAATAAAATGCAAACAGCACAAAAGGGTGCACAGTGAAAGGAAATCTCCCCGATGCCACTTCCCTAAGACAGTTTCCTGTGTTCCCTTTCAGAGATACTCTATTTACAAATACATGTGTGTTTACTCGATTCAGGTGAAAATTACACCGAGAAGTGTGGATAGGTTCCTCCCAAGTGCCACAGGCTGTGATCAAGAGTGAAATTCGTGCGAAGGGATCTGGGTAGGGAGAGGACCCTGGGCTTCGGCCATCAGCTTAAAGCTCCCCGAGTTGGGTCCTTTTAGCCGGTTCGAGGCTCCCTCCTCTACCCTCCCCTCCCCGCGGGGATTTCCGCCTGTGATAGGGCGCCTCCCCACTTAAGGCTTTTCAAGAAACCCCTCAAGGCCAACGGTTAGTGCTGAAAGAGAAGGGTCTGTGACACCACCACCCCCGACCAAACAAGCTTAGGGTACCCAGCAGCCCACTGGGGTCCCCAAGCCCTACTAACGGCTTTAACGCCTTCCCTGCAGGCAGGAGTACCGTGCGTCGTACCGAGACGGCCGAAACTCTGGGTCCCCTTCCCTGCTCGGGCTTCGAACTGGAAGAAGCCAAGGCATTACCTCCCCCTCGCCCCTAAACTGGTCAGGGCAGTCCTCGGCTCCCGCAGTGGGTGTGTCGGGGTGGCGGGGAAGGGTTTAAGTCGGGACCGGCCTGGCCCAGCGGCGGAAGGTCACCTGTAGCCACGATTGGTGGCCCGCGGCGGGATGCGATAGACGTGAACCTCTGGTTTGACGCAGAGAATCGACTCGTACTCGCCCTCCTCCATCTCGATGCCTGGAGCCCAGCAGAGTTCCGGCTCCTTTTTCTGCCCCGCCCCCGCCAGGGCCGGAAGCGGTGCGACTCTATGACCACGCTCTGGCTAGAGCGGCGGTTCGTGGCCCTCAGCACCTCCTCGCCCGCGCGCCCTCTGCTGGCAGTCCTGGCTCAAGACACGCGGCGGATAGGCCCGAGCCACTGACTTGCGCGGAAGCCGGGTGCCCTGGAGGCTTCTCCTCTTCCACCAGGCACCCTCGGCCGCAGAGAACGCTTCTGTACAGACCTCACGCAATCCGTGGTCTGGTTGTGGGTCATTCCCATCGCCTCAATTCTTAGGCCTGGGGCCCCTTTGGCTGAGATGCAAAGCTGTAGCGCCCCCTGCAGCATCTCTCCTCCAGCCTGTGTTCCTCACCTGACCCACCAACCTAAGTGGATGCCCCCACCCGACCACTCTCCACGCTTCCCCTTATCGGAACCCACTTATGTGTCCAGCGCCCCGTGTGGCCTAGGCTTAACAAGGAGTTGTATTCAGAGAAGTAAAGTTTAGTAACGTAAGACATTTTAAAAGAATTCCAGTCTTAACTTGGATTTCCCAGAGAATATTCTAGGGGGTACAATGTCTAACCATAGAAATTCTCAAAATCCCTTCTACCTACCATTCTCTCCTTGATTCCATGGGTTGGGTGTCTATAACGTGCCAGGCCCTAGGTGGGGCACACAGCTGATGCTAATTATCCAACTTACTGAATACTCCTAAACTTTCTCCACCTCCTCTTCTCACAAGCTCTTTCTATTTTTTTTGGAAACAGGGTCTAGCTCTGTTGCCCAGGTGCGAGTGTAGTGGCTGGATCATAGCTCACTGCAGCCTCTAACTCCTGGGCTCAAGCAATCCTCCTGCCTCAGCTTCCTGAGTAGCTGAGACTACAGGCGCTCGCCACCACACCTGGCTAATTTTTTAAAATTTTTTGTAAAGACCAGGGTCTCACTCTTTTGCCCAGCCTGGTCTCGAACTCCTGGCCTCAAGGGATCCTCCTGCCTGAGCCTCCCAAAGTCCTGGGATTACAGATAGGAGCCACCACGCCCAGCCTGTATAAGCTCTTTATTATAGGATCGATCTAACCTCTTACATTTTTATTGTGGTAAAATATATGTAACATAAATTTTGCCATTTTAAGTGTACCATGTAGTGAAATTGAATACACACAGTGTTGTGTAATCATACCATGATTTCCAGAACTTTTCATCATCCCATACAGAAACTCTGTACCTATTAAGCAATACCTTCCCATTTCCCCAGCCCCCCAGCCCCTAGTAACCTCTATTCTTTCTGTGTCCATGAATTTGCCTATTCTAGAAACCACATATAAGTGGACTTGTGCAATATTTGTCCCTCTGTCTGGTTTATTTCACTTAGTATAATACTTTCTTTTCAAAGTTCATCTGATACATTGTAGCATGTATCAGAATTTCATTCCTCTTAAAGGCTGAATAATACTCCCTTGTATGTAATATGCCATGTTTTGTTTATCCATTCATCTGTTGACGGACATTTGGGATGTTACCAGTTTTGGGCATTGTGGCTAATGCTGCTGGGAACGTTGGTGTACAAGTACTTGTTCAAGTCCTGGTTTTCAATTTTCTTGAACACGTACCGAGGAGCAGAACTGCTGGGCCGCACGATAATTCCGTGTTTAGCTTTCTGAGGACCCTCCAAACCATTTTCCACAGCAGCTGCATCATTTCACATTCCTACCAGTATTGCACAAGGGTTTCCAGTTTTCCACGTCCTTATCAAGACTGGTTATTTTCCCTTTTTAAAAAATAATAGCCATCGTAATAGGTATGAGACTAACCTTCCTTTTCTAACCTCTCTTCATGTGAATTTAACCTCCAATTTCAACTTTGCTCATTACTCTGTTTCTCTGCTACAAGGGAGAAATTGAGAAATGGCTCAGAAAATGAGAGTTTTTCCTAATTGTTCTTTAGTCTTGCCTCCCATGTTCCTAAGGCCCTGGAATGATGCAAACAGAACTCCTCTTAAGGGTGGAAGAGGAGAGATGTTGACAGTAGAGGGCAGAGGAGGGCACACTCCCACACAGAAAATCTTATCCACTCACATTCTCACCATCCTTTTGATTTGTCTGCTCACCCACTAGACTGTGAGCTTCTTGAGGGCAGGAGGGCAGGACTGCCACCTTCGGATCCTGTATTCAGCAGCACAGGGCCTACCACAGTGAATCAATGAGTGTGTGTGTGTGTGTGTGTGTGTGTTTTGAACTGCCTATATTCCAAAGCCAAGTGGCAATTTGGGGCTGGGCCACCATGTTTCCTTTTTCATGTCTGACTCCTTGCATTAGTGTGTGCTGAACAACATAGAGGAAAATAGGGTATCCTAGGGATGAAACACATGGCCATTGAATCAGAGAAACTTCCAGCTGGGAGAGCATCTAGGACCAGCTCTCAGGAGCTGAACTTTGGGATGGTGTCCACCATCAGCACCAACTTCCATCCCTTCTACTTCGGAAGCCAAGCAGCATGAAGGCAGCCTGCTGTGACTGTTCTGGGGCTTGCCTACAACTGCCACGGGTGGGAAACCTTCCTTCTCATGGGCTGCAAAGAGAATTGTCATTCCGTGCCAGGGGCAGCCAGGTCTTACTGTGTATTCAGAGCTCTTCCAGTTCCATTCAATCTAACAAAGATGGGCATTGAGCACCTGCCCATGCCAGGTGCTAAGTGCTGGGGCTACCCAGCTCCTGCTGTCATGGGGCTCACAGGCCAGAGGAGAAGGTGAGAAAAGCAGTCATTTGCAATGCAGAATGAAAGGTGCTATGATGGCGCAAACTCACAGGGGTCTGTGGGAGCAAACAGAAGACCCCTCACTCAATCTGGGGACAGTCAGGGAAGGATCTCTGGGAGAGGTTACCTTGGCACAATAACCCCTATGAGGTAGGCAGGGCAACGATTGTTATCCTCATTGTGTGATGGGGGCCACTGAAACAGTGACAAGCTAGGGGAAATGACACTGTCCTGTAGTTGGAGGAGGTCAGACAGTCCTTTGCCTTATTCTCAAACCCTAAACACATGACTGGACATTCCTGAAATGCATTCTTAAACCTCTGCTGCTGAGCGTAATTGGACCTACCATCTACTCCCTACCTTGTATGCCAAATGAATTCAATTCAAGCCAACAGAGTATAGGCTCAGATAGAGCCCATCCTGCGTGTGAGGAGGTGAGCCGGGGTGGGAAACCTCACTGTGATTCATCCAGCTGCTTTCTGGTAGGTTCAGGGCCAAGGTGGGGGTTTGATGTGGGCAAGCTTTCCTTGGCAGCTTCCAGAAATACTTATTCTAGGTCACTTATCTTTCTCTGATATATTTTCCTGCCATCATAGACATTTCTAAGAGAAATTTCTCCATTTTTCAGGTGAGAAAACCACTTAGAAAAGGGCACTCAATGTCAAAATAATCTTGAAAAAGAACAAAGTTGGAGGATTCACACCTCCCGATTTCAAAACTTACTACAAAACCAGAGTCATCAAGACAGGGTAGTGTGGCATAAGGATAGACATATAGATTAATGGAATAGAATTGAGAACCCAGAAATAAAACCTCCCATTCATAGTCAGTTGACCCCTTAATATTTTGAAGTAAAAAATTGGCCGGGCACGGTGGCTCATGTCTATAATCCTAGCACTCTGGGAGGCCGAGGCGGGAGGATCGTTTGAGCTCAGGAGTTCGAGACCAGCCTGAGCAAGAGCAAGACCCCGTCTCTACTAAAAATAGAAAGAAATTGGCTAAACAACTAAAAATAGAAAAAATCAGCCGGGCATGGTGGCGCATGCCTGTAGTCCCAGCTACTCAGGAGGCTGAGGCAGGAGGATCGCTTGAGCCCAGGAGTTTGAGGTTGCTGTGAGCTAGGCTAATGCCACGGCACTCACTCTAGCCAGGGCAACAGAGTGAGACTATGTCTCAAAAAATAATAATAATAATAATAATAATAAAATATATATAGTCAGTTGACTTTCTGTAAGCATGCCAAGACAATTCAATGGGAAAGAACAGTCTTTTCAATAAATGGTGCTGGGATAGATATCCACCTGCAAAAGAATGAAGTTGGATCCCTACTTCACACCATATACAAAAAGTAACTCCGAATGGATCAGGCCTAAGTGTAAGAGCTAAAACTATACAACTCCTAAAGGAAAACAGAAGCATAAATCTTCATGACCTTGGATTTATATTATAAGTATCTAATGGATTCTTAGATATGATATGATACTAAAAAGCACAAGCAACAAAAGAAAAAATAGATAAATGGGACTTTAACAAAAATTAAAAACTTTTGTACTTTGAAAGCCAAAACACTGAAAGTGCAATCCACATAATGGGAGAAATATGTCGCAAATCATATATATGACTAGGGACTTGTGTCTAGAGTTTATAAGGAACATTTACCATGCAGTAATAAAAAGGCAACTCAATATCAATGGGAAAAGCCTCTGAATAGACATTTTTCCATAAGAAAATAGACAAATGCCAATAATGACATGGAAAGATGTTCATCGTCATCAGCCATCAGGGAAATGCAAATCAAAATCACAATGAGATAAGACTTTACACCCATACCCACTAGAATGGCTACAATAAAAAAGATAGGTAATAACAAGTGCTGGAGAGGATGTAGAAAAATCGGAACACTCCTACGCTGCTGGTAGGAATGTAAAGTACTATGACCACTTTGGAAAAGTCTGTCGGTTACTCAGAGTTAGCATAGGAGGCAGCAATTTCACTCCTAGGTATATACCCAAGAGAAATGAAAACATATGTTCATATATGTGCACAAAAGTTCATAGCAGCATTATTCATTATAGCAAAAAAGAAACAACTCAAGTGTTTATCCATTTATGAAGAGATAAACAAAATGTGGTGTATCCATACAATGGAATATTACTCGGCCATAAAAAGGAATGAAATTCTGATACATGCTACGACATGGATGAAACTTGAAAACATTATGCACATAACCTGAGCTATTTGATCAAGAAAAAGAAAAAACCAGAAAGAAAACATTATGTTAAGTGAAAGAAGCCACTCACCACATATTGTATGATTCCATTTATATGAAATTTCCAGAATAGGCAAATCTATACAGGCAGAAAGTAGATTAGTGGTTCCCTAGGGCTGGGTGGCGAGGGATGGGGGGAATGCTGGGGTGATTGGAAGTGATGGCCATGGGGTTTCTTTTGGGGGTGATAAAAATGTTCTAAAATTGCGGTAATGGTTGCACAAGTCTGTGAATATACTAAAAGCCATTGAATTGTACATTTTAAATGGGTAAATTGTATGGTATGTGAATTAAATCTTGATAAAGCTGTTAACAAAAAAGGGTACCAAATGATCCAAAAGGGGCACATAGTCTATACTTGCCAAGCCCTCCTCAAAGTCTGTCCTTGAATTCCATGCCCCTCTGCTAGGGTTGGGGCTTCCCCTGCTTGTCTAAATTCTCACAGTTAGCAAGCTCCAGAGAGGGACGGATGAGGGGCTGGATCTCCTCTGCCCTCTTAAAACTTTAGTTTGTGGAATGTTGGGGCCTAAAGATTCCAAGGTTGAGACTGCATGTTCTGAGGTGGAGACAGTGGACAATGGGGGGCGTGTTTGAGGGGTCAGGCGGGTGGCGGGAGATCCTCCCCAGATGGGTCATGCACCCCTGAGACAGGAAGGCTCAGAGAAAAGGGGAATGGTGAGGGGAACCCTAATGGGAGAGAGGTGGGGGAGGAGAGGAGCTCCAAGGGAAGAGGGAAGGACTTGGACACAGCCCTGACTTCTCCATGCCAAGCAAGAGCCTGGGTTCTTTGGGAGGCCAGAGCTGCAGGGGTGGGAGGTCACCTGGGAGCTGAGGTCTTGTTTGCATTGTGGGGGTGCAGGTCTAACTGCAGGAGGGACCTGGAGTGTAGGAGGAGGAAGCGGAGATTTGAGTCAGCAGCTATTAAGTGCACCTCCTTTGTGCCCCTGGTGAACTGTGAGAGCCATCAGACACCCAGTGTGTCCCCAAGGCCTGACGTTGTGCCTAACACAGGCACGCGTCATTAAACAGCTGTTGATTGCATGAGTGAACGAACGACTTAAGCTTCTTTGAAAGCTTACGATACAGTGAGATAAGCAGTCTGGGAGACCAGAGAGGCCTGGGTTTGAATCCAGCTCCTCTGAAGACCAGCCATGTGGTAGTGGACAAGACATTGGACTACTCTGAGCCTTGGTTTCCTTATCTTTAAAACAGGGCTGAAACCACTGACCTCACAGGGCTCTTAGGAGAATACCGCTCGCAAACGTGCTCGGCAAATAGAAGGTTTCTCCAAGGATGCTGGCTGGCCTGCCGCGATTTAAAGTGGAAGAAGCACCATCAAGATCTTCAAGGTCACAGGGTGTCCCTGGGGGCGGGGAGTAGGATTTGCCCCTGGAAACTAGTTAACAGTGAAAAGCGTGCTTGACATACCTATAGAAATGGTGTCGATGTTGCCCCAGAGGAATTCAGTGGCTGGAGAGAGGCTAAGTGGGTTGGATGCTGGGAGAAGAGGGGGAGCTTAAAGCACGGGGCAGGGGCTGTTGGAGAGGCAGAAAGCGGGAGGTGGGCACAGAGGCTGGGGGGCTGTGGGATTGGGGTTACAGAAGTCTGCCCGGATTAGAGCAGGAAGCTTGCTTGCGGGATGGTGATGCAGCCAGATGAGGGCAGGCGAGAGAGGCAGGAGCGACACTAGGAAAGGCTTTAGAAAGGGGCGTGTCCAGGGCAGGGTGTGGGTGCTTTGGAGAACTCCACATTGCCACTGGAGACCTTGGGGTCCCGAGACAGACGGACAGATGTTCCCAATTCCTGTTCCCTAGCTGCATCTAAGAGCATGGAGCTTCCACGCAGCTGTGACATTCTTGGGCTCCCTTTAAAAGGCACATCAGTAGTTTAAAGACACTGAGACGTCCGGCAGGAAAGCGCCTGTTCCATTTTGTTTAACCCATTTAGCCTCAAAACCTCGTGAAGCATCTCGAGGGACCGAGATTCCGAACAACCCCCTTTAGGAAACGCCGGTGCGGGGGAAAGTGTGTGGGTCTGGGGGTCTGACAGGCCACGCTTCAAAGCCTGCCCCGTGACCCAGTAGCTGTTGGACCTTGGGCAAGCCTCTCTGCCTTCCAGAGCCTCCTTTTCCTCGGGCGCGTTGTGACAGTTAGGAGGAACATGTGGCTAAACTGCTCGTGGCTGGCTCTCTGGTTCCACTGCGTGCCTCTCCTCGCCAGGCCCGGCCCTGCCTCTCCCTAAGCCGGGCTTTCTACGTTGCAGGCTCCACGTGGGCTACTGAAGCAGCAGTTAGGTAACGGGCTCGGCGCAACCTTGACTGGATTTCTCCTGTGGGAGCACAGCAGCCGATGCCCCTCACTTGGCACCCTTGTTGGCCCTGGCATGATGGACAACAGAAATGCCCAGATGGACACGGAGGGTGGGACCAAGGTCTCAGGGGCCCAGTCAAGTCCTGGCCCGAGGATCAGCAGAAAGACGGCTGATGTTGAGCCCTCCATTTCAGAAGTCAGCCAGGTAGAGACCTCATGTTCTGACCCCTTCATTCCCAGCTGGCACCTTTCCCTTTCCTTGCCCCAGCTTCCTCCCCAACTGCTTCCATTAAGACTCTCAGTTACAAGGACACAAAACCCAATTTAAGCTGGATTAAGCAGGAATGAGAATACATCAGTTTGGGTAACTGACAAATCCATGGTAGACTTCAGGTATGGCTGGATCAAGGTGCTAAATGAGTATCTCCTGGCTCTACCTTCCTCTGTGTTGTACTCATTCCCAGACAGGCTTTCCCTGCCAGGTAGCAAAGATTGCCCTGGCTGCTACCGGATTACATGTTCCCATCTTACATCCCCTGGCCTAGCATCCCCAGCAGGAAGAAAGCCTCTTTGCAATCCTCGAAGCAAGTCTCTGGCATCACTGCCGTTGGCCCAGATTGTGGTCACATGCTCATCCCTGAACCAGTCACCATGGCAGGGGGAGTGGCCTGGATCTCTTGGTACAGTGGAGACACAGGTGATAATTGGCTTCGCTGAGCTCCTTGGGTCAAACGGAGAAGGGAAGGTTCTCGTGAAAAGAATGCTGGCTTCTGTAACCAGAACTGCCTCCTTCCTCTACTTGGTGCCTTCCACAGCCTTTGGCCCCCACTTATGGCCTCCAGCTCCCCTTCATTCCCCTGACAGCTCCTCGGGGCTTCCATCCCTGCCCTTCACCAGCCCCCAGCCAGGATCCTAAGCTTCCACCACCTCTCGGCCTCTTTCCATTAAATATGTTCCTTTTGAAAGTGCCAAGTAGCATGAACTGAAGAGCATAAAGAAGACCCTCCTCCCCATCCAGTTTTCCCAGGGCCAAAAATGTCACCAGTAAAAAAGTCAGCATTCCCTTGGGTTAAGTATTGCCCTCCCCCGTGGCCTCCGGTATAATCCTGGCTTCCCCTGGGGCGGGGAGAGGGCCTGGGGGGAGGAGCCTTGGAGGGAGGCTGGGCAAACATTCAGGGCTTCCTTCATCCGCCCATTTATTTTTTCAACGAGCACAGTCAGGGGTCCCAGTCCTGCCACCTAACTCACTGTATGACCCTGGGCATGTCACTGCACCCCTTCCAGCCTCACTTGTTTCATGGTGAGAACTAACTGCGTTAAATCCCTGGAAGGCACCCAGCACGGGCCCTGCCTCGTGGCAGGTGCCCATCTGCATTAGCTCAAATCAGAATTGCTTATTGGAACAATATCAATTAATTAATTGAGTCAGGCTGTTTGGAGTTTGTTGCCTCCGGTGAGGCTTGGAGCTGGGTCTAGGTCCCTCAATTGGAGAGTGACGGACCAAGACAGTGATCAAATCCCAGTTCCACAGCCTGAGATTTGAAGTAGCGGAAATCGTGGCAAGCCTCTCCAAAACACCGTGAGGGTCTTGGAGTCCCCTAGACTGCTCTCTCAAGCTGTCCTTGGGGCGATCCCCCCGTCTCGGGTTCTAACCTGAACTCCAGGCTCATGCCAGAGCCTTTAGTGCTGCGTGACAGCGTCTGGCTGGGCCAGGCCCTGCGTCCCAGCCTCTCTCTCCCTGGCTCTCGGCTCCTCCTCACCTCTCTGCAACGCCTTCCCCAGCTACGCACAGGACCTCCCTGTCCCTGCGGCCACGAGGATGCCTGGCGGGGACTGGGGGGAACCACTCCTTGGCACTCAAGGCCAGCCCTTGAGCCAGTGCCGCTGGCATCTCTGTCCAGGTCATGTTTCCGGATGCGGAAGAAGTGGGCAGTGGGAAGCAGCCCTCATCTGCTCCAGGAGGGCCAGAGACGGGGCCTGAACACAGAGAAGCATCCGAGGAGGGGCCTCCAGAGCTCAGGACTCAGGAGCAGAGGCCTCCAACAAGACCAAGGTGAGCTGAGGGGCTTCCCAGAGAACAGGTCCAGGGGAGAACCCCCTGGATCCCACCTGGAGGGGAGAGAGAATTTAGAACTCCCAGACTAAGGCAGATCCACCTGGACACAGCACCGTGTACTGCTCTTTCATTGCGCTACTTGCACTAAATCATTATCCGTGTTAACCTTTTGTCTGAGCTCCCCCACTAGACCACGAACCTCTCTTACATGTCTTGTTCAAGGGGCATTTATATGTTCTGTCTGGCCGCAAATCCCTCATACCTGGTACTGTGCCTGGCATATAGTAGATGCTCAATAAATAATGATTCACTGAATTCATAGAAAAATGAACAAAAAAGCTGAGAGACAAAGAAACACACAAAGATTTATGTGATATTATTATTTTCTAAATTTTGTATACATTTCTAACCTTTTCTATGGCAAAAATGTATTCTTTCTAAAAAGAGAAGGTTGAGAGAGAGCCAGAGAGAGGCAAAGTGAAGACATGAGTCTACCTGGCTTATCATTTAAATTTGATTATAACCGAAAACTCCTAAAAAACCTCTGCGTGAAAAGTTAGGGGAATCAACCCACACCAGGTTTGACCCCCCCACCCCCCGCCCCAGAATAAATACTGCATTCCACAAGCACGTGGATACCATGTTGGTGGAAATATAAACCATTTCAACATAGCCGTTTCATCAACTGGGCAATTTGTTTAAACTGCCTTTAAATTATCTTTACCTTCATCCATTTCTAGAAATTGGCCCTACAGAAATAACTGGTGATTCAGGCAAAGTTTTATGCACAAAGATTTTCACTGTCGTATTATTTTAAATACTAAAAAATTGGAAATCCCCTAAGTTGCCCACACTGTAGGGAAATGGTTGATGATGGTTATCTACAAAGTATGGAATTTTATGCATTCATTAAAAAGCATGTTTCTGAAGGATTTTTTGCATGGGAAAAATTTAGGCTATAATGTTAATTGAAAAAAGTAGACTACAAAATTGTATATGCAATGTGATTGGAACTATTTAAAATCATGCAATTATTTGAAGATGGCAATTAAACAAATCCCTATTAAACATATGCATGTATACGCATAGCAAAAAGCCAGGAGGAAATAACCCGGAGTACTAAGGTGAGATCAGGTAGACACAAAGTCCGATTTCGAGCTGTTATCTTTCCCTAGGCTCAAAGTCTCCCAACCTCTCTGCCACCCAGTTCTGATTTTTCTGTTTCTTTTTTTTCTGAAAAACAATAAATAACACTAAAAAACTTAAATCCTAACCCCTCCAAACATTGACATCAAAGTGTCTGTGGTTTGGGGAATTCATATGAGTCCTTCATTTGTTCTCCTGGGCATTAAGTATGCACCTGTGGTGTGTCTAACTCTGTAAGAATGTAAAACAATGTCTGGGAGTCAAAGTGTCCCTTGTCTGTCATCTTGGGCCCCCCAGGAAGGGCCTGGGGAGCTGCAAGCAGGCCAGGATCAGCCTAAGCCAGAGAGTGAGCTGGAGTTGCCACCTTGCAGGGTTTCTCCAGTGCTTGAAGGGCCGCAGCCGCCAGGCTCTGCGAAGGAGACTGAGGACCAGCGAGGGAGACAGTGGAACCCAGGGACTGCGGAGGGTCAGCCCCTCGAGAGCTGCCAGGTACCCCCCCCAGGAGATCTGGGCAGAGGGAATGGAATGACCTACCCATAGCGGAAGCAACCCCCCCAGGGGGGGTTGCACACCCCCCCCCAGTGCACTTGTGTTTGCTCCTCGCCTCTGTACCAGAGATGCTGAGTGCCCGGTCTGTGTGGGTCGTCCCCCAGCCTGCGCCGCCGCAAGCATTTAAGTCTTGCTTCCAGAGTGGCCCCGCAGGTGGGGGTTTCTGTATACGGATAATATTGGGGCATGTTGGGTCTAACGAAGCTGAAACAGGTTTCTGTACGCAAGGATATCCTAG